CCCCCCCCCCCCCCCCCACCCAGAGAGCTGGATCCAAAGCAAGGGACTGCTGTGGCCTAGAGGTGGAGCTCTCGCCTCACTATCAGGAGGTTGTGAGTTCAATTCTAGGTAGAAGCAGATGTAGGGTCTGCCGCTTGGCCAGGGGGTTGGACTAGATGACCTGCAAGGTCCTTTCCAATCTCACCTGTCGTACCATTCCCATCTTCAACCCGGATGACAAAGTATCGGCTCGAGTCCGTCACGCTTTCCACAGCAATCCCAGGAAACTGGTCCACGGAAGCCTGGGCGAAAAGCTCTCCTGGGGGAGGGAAGGAGAGTCAGGTGGGCAGCCGGTCCGCTGCTGCCTCGGGCTGTTTAACCTGCCCCGACCACTGCCCTCCAGGGAGACCCTCAGCCACCCGGGCGGCCCCCTTACCCGAATTCTTGTCCTCCAGCTTAATGAAGGCCACGCTGCCGCGGGCTGTGATACGCATTCGGCCGCTCCAAGTCGGCTGGTCCAGCTGCCACTCCGCGGCACTAGCGGCAGGAGGAAAAAACCAGCTAGCCCGACCGGCTCCCCCTTTTCCCTTTAGGAAGTAGGGAGTGGGTGGGAAACGTGTGCAGATGATCTCTGCGCAAGCGCAGGACCCAGCCTCAGCGCAGCAGATTTTCCTCGGCGGCACCGGGGAGCCGGTCAACTCAGCCGGGGATGATGGGAGTTAGGAATCCCGCACCGGCCCACGAGGGCAAAGCGACATGGGGGACGGGGGAGGCTCACCGATAGCCGCGGTTGGAGGCGCGCGGGGGCACCCGGTAGACGTGGACCTCCGGCTTGACGCACAAGACGGACTCGTAGTCTTCGCTTTCTGCCATCTTCGCCCCCTCACCGGAACGCTGGGCTCTTCCGGGCATGCGCAGGAGCCTCCTCTCCAGCAACACCTGCCGTCACTTCCTAGCCGCGGGCGGGCGGGTGAGAAAGGCGAAACCCCGCCGAAGGCGCCTTTGTGTCTTAATAAAGCGGCTCTGGCGGCCCCTGGCGGGTGGGAGGAGCAGAGCATCCCGACTCCCGGCCGGTGGTGGGGGGAATCCGATCCGGCTCTGCCCTGCCTGACCCCCCCTCAAAGCTCCCCTCGCCCCGGGGAATGAGAAGCAAGAAAACTTGAAAAAAAAAGTTAACGCGTTTATTTCAAACACAGCGTGTAAATCTTTCGTCCGCGAAGGGCAAGCGCTGCCTGGAAGAGAAGTTCTTCGGTGGAGGGGCGGGGGCTTTAGCGCCGATCCCTCCCTTCCCACAAAGCAGACCTCCTCCACAAAAAGAGACTCTTCCTCCGAAGGGTGCCGCTTCCCGGTCCGCGGGTCCACAGCAACCACCACCCTGGTCCGTGATCGGCTGAGCCTCGGACGCCCCCTCCCCCATTAGGTCATGGAGGCGGGGTCTTTGCCTTCCTCTTGACGCTCCCCCCCCCCCGGGAATCCAGCCACGGGAGCCGAAAAACCAAAGCTCCGAGTTGGTGGCGAAGAGCCGCCGCTGGAAAAAGCCGCTGCCGTGGGAAAAGTTGCTCGAAGTCCATCCGCCGCCGTGGGAAAAGCTGCTCAAGCGACGCGCCCTTCCGCCTTTTAGCAGAGGTCCCCAAACCTGGCGACTTTTAAGACTTGTGGACTTCAACTCCCAGAATTCTTCAGCCAATCCACAAGTTTGAAAAGTTGCCGACTTGTGGACTTCAACTCCTAGAATTCTTCAGCCAGCAGACTGGAGAATTCTGGGAGTTGAAGTCCACAAGTCTTCAAGTTGCCTAGTTTGGGGGGCTCTGGTATTTAGAATCCAAAGGGAGGGTCGAAAGAAAAGAGGCCCAGATCCTGACCCCGAAAAGGGAGGCCGGTTCTGGGAAGGGCCAGCCGGTAGTGAGGCAGTTACTCTGCGGTTAGAAAAGGGGAGAGGCAACCCCGGTTTCAAACAGAAATTGGGGGGGGGGGGGGGGAAAAAAGGCCAGCCAGAAAATGTGGGGATCAGCCAAGCCAAGTGGGAAGAGAGAGGCAGATGGAAAGAGAGGGTTACCCACTGAAGGGCCAGCCAGGTTTTTTTCACTTTTTTGTACACAGGTAGTTTTTATTTCTATTATTATTGTTATTATTACTCTTTTGACTGGTTACTCCTTTTGCCGTGTTGTGATACAACATCCTGTGTTGATGTACAAAGAGACACCTGTTCTGGCACCCCCAACCCCCCCCTGCCCCACACACATATATAGACACACTTAAAACCCTCTTCTTGCACGACAGCCGGAGGCATTCCCTCCTCTCCCAGCGGGAAAGAGGATTTTTAAGGGTGGGAATTCCCCCCCCCTTGACAGACCCCCCCTCCCCAAATTCCGAGGTGTCCCTTTCTACACCAGGCAGCAAAACCGAAAGGCAGACTTGGGAAACACAGTGAAGCGAGCTAGCCCAGGCACCTGGAAGTGGTGTGGGGAGGGGGGAGGCTCTCCACCTCCGCCCGCCCCCTCAATATGGCTGCTAGGGAGTGAAGCCCCAGCTGGTCCGGACACTTGGCATCTTTGGGCAGGGTCTCTTAAACCAGCCCCCTTCCCTCCAGTGTTGTTTTTTTTTGTCTGACCAACTGGGAAAAAGCTAAAAAGAGTATTGCTTGGGGGGGGNGCTAGGGATTCGAACCACCAAACTGCTGACCTTTCTGATCGACAACCTCAGCATCTCAGCCACTGAGCCACCACGTCCCTAATCTAAGCTATATAACAATAAAAAAGAGACAAAAATGCTAAATTTTTCATGGTGCAGGACTTCGAGACAATTCACCACTGTATGGACACAACAGTTCCTCTGTCCTTTGGGGGAAGAGAGAATGTGCTGGGGCAGGACTTATCCTCCCAAAACATGACAAAAGGGGCATCTCGTTCTCACCCAGAAGCTGTGGTGAAATCTCCCCAAATGTCTACAGAAGCTTCTCTTGAAGAACTTGGCGGCTGTGGGGGCCGAGACTCGGCAACATCTGTTGGCAAACAAAGGGGGAGAGAAAGAGGTTAGCTTTGTATTTCCCGTTTCCAGATGCTGCTCGGTGAAAGGGCTTTTGTCTGAGCTGGCAAAGAGAAGCCTGTTACTTAGCATGTATCCATTTTTTTTAAAATGACCCTTACATAACTGATGCCTCTACTAAGGGACAGCTAGATCAGGGGTCCCCAAACGTTTGGATATCAGGGACCACTAAATTCGTAATTTCAAATCCCACAGACCAGTAATATAATCTGCCTAATGACCCGGCTGGGTGGGCATGGCTAGGTGGTCATGTGACTGAGTGGGCATGGCCAGCTTATGTCACATCGAGGAGCGCCTCACCGGCCTCTACTCACCCCTCCCCTCCCAGCCATTCCTTGCCTGCCCGCCCGGGCTCCTTAGGGCCCTAACAGGAAGCAGTTGCTGGAGCTAAGCAGCCCCCATGAGAAAGAGTTGGCAAAACAACTCAGTTCAAATTGGATCTGGTCAAGGAGGCTCAGCAGAAGCACCTCACTGAGGACTAGGAGCATAGGCTTTCCAAGCAGAGGGAAGACCTGCGGGAGTGCAAAGCCAGGTTACCGGTGACTGGAGGCTCAGTAGGCTGAGATGGTCAGCCAGTTCCAGGCCATGATGCAGTTTCAGTGGAACGAGGCCCTCTGGCTCTTCGCCACCAGCAGCACTTCCCTCCAGCCTTCACCCAAAGCCCCCCACCAGAAGGCTGAAGCAGACCCCAAGTTGGAATTTCTACCCCCTTTCGATCCATACAAAAAGACCCCGAAAGGGGAGACTCTACAGCAACACAAAGGTTCATTGCACATATCCATCCCAGGGGGCGTATTTAAGGACCCCTGATTTGGTGCAATATAAAAAATGCAAATAATTTTTCTGCGGACCATCAAAGATTTTCTCACGGACCGCCAATTGATTACCGCTGAGCTAGATGATGGGCAAAAATGAGGTGTGTGGTCCTCAGAGTGGATGTAAAAGGCCCTGGCTGATCCCATCTACTACCAGACAACTCAAGAAGTCTGAAAGGCAGGAGCTCCCTTTTCCAATTTGGTACCAAAGTGAATCCCCCCCACCCCACTCCAAGGAGCCAGACAGACCTGTTTGGACAGCATCTACTGATGTTCCCAGAGGAGGCAAGGGAAGCTGCTCTTCCGGTGTGGGGAGGAAGGGGGTCTTTCCCCCTGGAGGTGGGGGGAGAAGGGGGAGCCCCGCGTTGTCAGCAGTTCGTGGCTTACTTCCCAAGGAGCCGTCTTTTTTTTTCATGTTCTGGGGAGGAAGACCAAAAAGCTTTCAGGCGGACTTGGAAGCCTCCCACTTGACGACAGAAATTAGCCTGAGGAGGAGGGATTTCCCCTCGCTTCTTTCTCAAATGTCGGGCTCCAGGTTCTGCTTCCCTTCCCACGACTCAAACATGGCAGAAATCACCCACCGAGCTAGCAGAGGGCCAACTGCACCACCGAGCCTTGTAAGCACACCTGACTGCATCTTGTTCTGACCGAGGCTTCCTGAGAGCATGAAGCAAACTCCTGGTCCCCACAAAAAACCCTTTTATTAATTTGCTGTGAACGCTGCTCATTCACATCCAGCAAAGTCTTTCAAGGGAGGATTTACGGTCACAGACCTTATCTGGCTTGGAGAGCTGACAGTCTGATATCTGCAAAACTTGGCAAGGAGTCTCAGAGAGTCAAGAACCAATTAAGTGAATTGTCCCCTGCAAACTCCACTCCCCTTTTGCTCCTCTTTTATGTCCTCTGGAAGGGGCCGTTCATCGTCCACCTGTGGCCTTACTCCCAAGTCGACCCCTGTTCTTTAACTGTTCCCTTTGTCTGGCAACTCTGCGCATGCGTACACTGGGAACAGGCTCCAGCTGCTCTTCTGCTTCACTGATGTCTGACTCTGAAGACACCTGATAGCTGGCATACGGCTCTGGCCCCCACTCTGCCTCCGACACAGAGCCCTCATCAGAGCCTTCCCCAGACTCTAGGACTGGCCCATGTTCCTCCCCAACCTCCTCACTGCTCAATTCTGCTGTCAGCTGTGCTGGCCGCTGGTGGACCACAACACGTCTGTCTTGCTTCCACAACCCTGGATAAAAAACCCCCAAGGTCTTTCTCACCCCAATGCTGAGCGTGATGGTCTGCCCATCCTTGAAGCCCAGGTCAAGTTTGGGCACCTGGGTTGGGTTTTGGGCTTCTTTGGCCAACTCGGTCTGTTGCTTGACCCACCTGCAGAGAGAGAGGGAGAGAGAGAGAGAGGGAGAGAGAAAGAAGAAAACGCGGTGGAGAGCAAGAAAAGATGTGGGGAGGAAGCCTTTCCTCCTTGGAGAAGCCAGTTACTTAAGACAGACATTTTTTTCCTGGAAAATAAATCCACATAGCAAAGGTGGCCTCCCATATTTGTATTTCCCTCTAGAGCAGGAAACAAGGGGTGAGAAACAACCAGTGATGGAATCTGTGCAGTGGGAGGATTCAAAAACTTTTACTAGCGGTTCCATGGGTGTGGCTTGGTGGGCATGGCAGGGGAAGGATACTGTAAAATCTCCATTCCCTCCCCACTCCAGGGGAAGGTTACTGCAAAATTTCCATTCCCTTCAGATCAGCTGGGACAGGAGGCAGAGAATAAATGGGGCGGGGCCAATCAGAGGTGCTATTTACTGGTTCTCTGAACTACTTAAAATTTTCACTACCAGTTCTCCAGAACTGGTCAGGACCTGCTGAATACCTCCTCTGGCCTCTGGCTACCTTAGCTATTTCCTCTTTATTTTTAATACATTTATTGTCTTACTGTGTTGATCTTTTATATTTGTTTTATCAGAATTCAAATCTCCCAGGGTTGCATGACAGCGGGACGGGCAGCGAATAAATGTAATGCATGATATAAACAAAGGTTATCTGTTTTGTTCCCAGATGCCAGATTTTTGCCAGGTTTTGAGTGGCGGGTGCACGTCAAAGAAGGATCAGCTGTGATTGGTCATGGGAGACCGCGCTGCTGATTTCCCTTCCTGACCTCCAGCAGAGTTCTGGCACCAAGGAAAGGCTGCTCACTTGAAATGATCTTGCAGCGCCACATTGAAGTCAAAAGCATCCCCTCGGTCAACAAAGCCAATTCCGATGAATGCACGGCGCCCTGTAAGGAAAACTAAGCTCAGGAAGGCGGCGGAAGTCGCTGGCTGTAGGTTAGCCCAGCAGGAAGCCTGAAACAGAGACCTCAGGAAGGCTGAGTCGTACCCAAAGCATGGCACACGCAGCTCCAGTTTGCAGCAAGAGCCACCCAAAGGGCCCTCTCTACACAGGCTGCTGACCAAGTGAGAAGCCACAGGCCCACAAGGGAGGGGGTGCCGAGAGTTCAGCCTCCATCCTCACAGTGCATATCTGCCAGGATGGGCCGTAGCCACACTGAGATGCCCATGGAGCTGGTTAATTAGAGAGTTACCGTGGATAGCAAAGAAGATTCGGCGTATCAAACAAGGAGAGGCATTGAGAGAGGAGAGCCAAGCGGAAGTTTAGAGACTCAGGAGGAGCCCAGATTGGGAAGCAGCCGGACAAATAGAGAAGAGGGGAAGCGGATGGCCCAAGGAAGGGCTGCCCACAGCCTTGCACACCACTTAAGGAAGGAAACGAAGAGTGTGTTTCACCAGGTTCGCTTACAATGACTGCTATCCCTTTTACCCAAGCACCTGGGAAAGCCCCCACCATCAGCACCAAGGTCAGATGCCACAGAGGAGGCTTTCCACATAAAATTATAATCAGCTTTGCCCCCCCCCCAAACAACTGCATCCCCCTCCCCCCCCCCCCCCCCCCCCAAGCAATACTCTTTTTAGCTTTTTCCCAGTTGG